TCAATTCACAACCAGGCGTTTTTCTCATAATCCGCCCCCACACTTTTAAAAACCAAAAATGGACAGCAATGGTTTCATTTCCTGGGACTCGATACTAGAAATCATGAAAATAGCTGCCAAAGCCACTTTATCTATCCAACTTAACATAAACAAAGAGCATAGAGTTGCCATCTCATGATTACAAAAAGCGAATTTTTAAAAAAACAGATACCCTTCAGACACCATTTCTCAAAACAACTGAAGAAATGTAGGGCAAAACTGCAAAAAATAGAAAATGATGGAATGCGGATGAAAAAGAATGTCAATGTTTTTTCAAGGCCTTCGAGAAAATGCACCCAGCTAAAAGAATGAAATTTACCTATCACTGTTACAGGAGATTCAAACTCAACGAGAGACGAAAACAAAAACAACATTTCATACCAATATCCAATTGAAAAAAGGAACCAGCCGCACCACGTGACAACGATTCCAATTGAAGACCAATCAGAACTCGCCGAAGACGTGATTGAGGAAATGTTTCAGGAAATAATCATAAACATGAAAAACGACACTGCGCCAGGCATGGATCAAATAGTACCCGAATTATTTAAGGCAAACCCACCGGAGCTAAACAGATATATCATCACACATATGAATTTGGCCTGAAAACAAAACACAGTACCACCAAATTGGATGCGAACAGTACAAGTCCCTATTCTTAAAATTCACTCCCCAAAAACATCAACGATTACAGAAGAATACCTATTTGCAACACGGGCTATAGGATATATGCAAACTTCCTATTGCAAAGACTAGATGCGACTATAGCAGAACTAGGAAATTACCAAGCAGCATTCCTCTAAAATAGATCAACAGACGAACACATTTTTGCGCTCAGGCGAATACTTGATGAGTCTTGGAAACAAGGCAAACGTATATAGATACTAGCATTTGACATTGAGAAAGCTTATGACTCTGTAAACCTAAACGCACTCCGGAATATATTTCTCACTAGAAGGATTAAAACCCTGACAAACAGGATCATTAAGGCCTACATGAACGAAATAACGAGAATTAAATGTAGGAATGAAACTATTTTTCCGGATTTAAATCAAAAATAAGAGAATTAAATGGTTTGGACAACAAACAAATTGGATAACGAAAGGAAAAGGAGTAAAACAGGGTGCCCTTTCCACGATAATTCACTCTGATAATGGACGGCCTAATGAGAACCCTCGAGAAAGAAAGTGAGTTCCTCCAACTTGACCAAGACAAGAAAATCTCCTTACCGGTGGTACTATCTTTCGCAGACAAAATGCTCATGATATCCAACTCACTAAGCAAACTAGATATCATTGATAGTACCCGCCACCTTTTCTGCACTATAAGACCCAAAATAAACACCAAAATAACAAAGTTCTCCTATGCAACCCAACTCAAGTCGGAACACAAAGAACGCCCCATTCTTAGGCAGAACTAACATACCAGTAACAAAATAAATTAACCACTTAGGCACGTACATAAACTCTACTCCCCGCCGCAAAATTACTACAGCACACACAAGATGTAAAAAGCTATCAAGAACGCAAAAATAATAACTCATTTCGTAATGCTATCAAAAATCGAATGGCAAACAGCTAGATGGTCATCGAACCTACAATGACGACTTAGGGCCTTACAGCAGCCGCGCTAACAAAAGCCTATAGAGCGAAGCTGAGAAGGTACGAAAGGTTAATACTTAGAAGTATAATTAACTGCGCAGGAACTCAACCAAATGAAGGAAAAATACACGATGTATTGGAGGGAAAGACCGCAAACGAATAAAATATCTGTGGCTTTGCTACTTCAGCCACGTCCACAGAACAAAACACCCACACATTTTACATGCAGCACGAACACTAAGAGCATCACAACTCAAAATAGGAAGACCCGTATTTACCTGGAACGACTCCATAAAACATAACATGGAATCAACGTAACGAAGACGACTGAACAGAACTAACTAAAGATAAGGATTTTAGGCAAGATGTTGAAGAAAGACATAAAATACCGGAAACCGACACCGAATCAGCAGGGGAAAGAAATGATACAACTCGAGCTCGATGGACAAGAACACATCCTCACCCAGGAGAATCCACTAAGGCAACACGAAACCTAACACCTTCAACGTTCATTCCTAACAACGCTACCTAACCACCTACCCAAATAACTAACTACCCCTACTAGCTACTTTCTGTCACGCGCTGCATAGCCGGCAGGAATCTGGCCATCGGTTGCGGCTGGTTGGTCTTCCCCTCCATAATCCCGGGCGTGTCACTCCCGAAACTGTGCCCCGTGGTATATCCGGCTTGTCCGGATCAGATTTACTCTGGCCGGGTGTGGTGCCAATGAGCAATAATTATACACATGTTGACGTGGTTTTTTTTATCACCCTATATAACAGCAATCATCCATATAGCACAATATTCCTCCGTATAGACATTTTGTAAGGAAATTTAATTAATTTGGTATTTATTCATTTTAACAACTTTTCTAGTCTACCACTCACAAAGCAAAAAATTTGCTGTTCTATTATTTTGGCCGTATAGGAGTTACTTTTTAATATTTTGTACTAAACAGTTGAATGGGGTTGCAGACAAATAGCTTATTTATTGTTATTTGCACGCTGGTCAGGCAGCAACAGAAGCGGTGTCCGCGGGATCATCGCGCGGCGGCAGTCAGGATAGTCTGTTGCGGCTGCTAACAGCCGCCACCGGCACCTCTGCCAACGCCCGAGCCAACGACCAACCGGCTACTTCTACTGCAGGTAACTATTCCACATTCTCGCTTTTTAGCTATGAAAATCTGTGGTTAAATCTCATAAGTTAGAATCGATTTCAGGTAACTCATTTCTTTCACTGACAACACAAATTAACATGTAAAAAGTCACTCTTTAGACATACAATAAAATTCCTTTACATATTTTTTTTAACGCACACCACACTATGTAAACCCTGTATCGCCAGGGGCACACACATAGACAACCACAAATGATACCCAAACTCACGAAAGAAATATTTGTAAACCATACACATATTTCTCCCGGCCTGGGAATCGAACCTCTGCGTGGCAGTCCGGCATGGTAACCGTTCGACCACGGAGGCAGTTGATTTGTATGACGCTTGTATTTTCAGGTGGTAGGCCAGTGATCACACCGGAGATGTTCAGCGAGGCAATATCGGACGCAATCAATCGAGCCGGCACTAGAAACCCGACCGGCACGCCAATGGAACAGAGCACAGCGGGTAACTTATCAACTCCACATAAACAAAACGAAACAATAAAGAAGAAAACTTCTATAACGTCAAAGACAGAAATAATCTCTTAAATTGTGTGTACAATTTAAGTGTAGAATTAAACCATCGTAAACATCTCAATAAAGTTCACCGTGTTAAAATTTAATTCTCAATGTCCCTCGACAATCGTCGAATTTCCGAATGCACACGAATATTAATTTCCATGCCCATTAATTATTACATTTAAAATCTATAATAATTTGAATTTTGAACAACGTACTTTATTGTTGTTTTGTTTTGATTTCCGTGTGAACTATATAGAGTCAACCGTGACCATGGGACCTGTAAAGGGCCCGAAACGTCGGTTTGTTTGAAAAAACAAATATACGTGATTTAAATCCGGTAACCATTATTACCATAACCATTGTTATCTTTATTGAACGTATCGGCTTCTTTTAAAAAATACAAGTACCCGCTGTAAATTATCAGTCTGTGACTTTAATGTAATAGCAACTCTATATACTTCCAAGTCGACTGAAAGCGTCCGGTCTGTACTAAAGGCAAAGGGCGACTGAATGAAACCCGACGACCGCCGAAACACGAAGTTTTGCCGAGCGACATTGCGAAAATAGAAGCACTGTAAATGCTTTGTTTCGCCCTCGATTGTTAGTAAATGTTACGAAACACGACAGGCTCGTCGTCGGACAGCCCGGCTCGCGAGAGGGCGGAGGGCGGGAGCGGGGGTGGCGAGGACTTTTCCACGCAGCTTCAGCACATGCACGAGATGGGGCTGCTCGATGACGCGCTCAACGTGCGGGCGCTGCTCATCGCGGCAGGTGTGCCTTTTTTTCTTCTATTCGTCCAAAAAGGACAGGTTCGGGTCAAAGACTTTTTTAAAGTTTTAGTAGCACTAGAGGTCCTCGTGAAAGAGTTCGTCCAGGGAAGTACACTCACTTTACCTATTTCTACCGCCAAGCAGTAATGTCAGCATTACTATGTTCCGGTTTTGAAGGGTAAGGGTGCTAGTGAAATTACAGGCACATGGAACTTGTTAACTTATGTCTTAGGGTTACGGGCGCAGTGGGAGTGCCCCTCAGATCTTTGCCATTTAAAGCTCTGAGTGGCATGCAACTGTTATGGACAGGCGTGTAACTTACCATCAGACGCACGACTTGCTCGTTCCGTCACTTGATATTATAAAAAGAAGACCATACTGCCTCGTCTTCAGCAATGAGTTACTGATCTAGTCCGGAAAGTAAACGTCTTTATTAAAGACTTTTTCTTATAACTTCTTCATCATTCTCAACTTCCTTTTTATCATTGTATAATCCATTAATTAAAACTTCTGAAAATCTTCTTTTTAGAGATAGATTTATTTATTTGTAAGCATACACGCTAAATACAGTTTAATGTTTAAGATTACACTTATGGTTAACGCACACACTCAACATAACGCATACACTCAACATAGCCTGGTTCAGCGTGTTGCGCCAGTAACTGGCATACAAATGTTATTAGCAAATATTATACATTGTTCGCATTTGTTACACATAGTCACAGTACTTATATAATTAAAATCATATCGTATTACATTATAAAATTAAATTTTGTTCATTAAATAATATAATTAGAGAAAAATTATGATTTAATAAAAAAGAGGAACGCATATCAAAGCAGTATAAATATATAGAGGGTCACAGGCTTCAAAATTTAAATGTCAAAAACTCATTTACATTATAAAAACAATTTGTTACAAGCAATTCAAATAGTATTTACTTAAATCTAGACGTAGGTAATATTTTTATATCGTCAGGTAATATTAGGGGTTAAAGTATGAAATTGCCGTTTTATTGCAATAGGTTCTTTGAATTTTCATAGAATCTTCATGGTTTGAGGTTTTCGAATGAAACTTTTTTCAAATGGTTTCTGTGATTTTTTTTTTAAATTTGAAACATTTGAATATCGACTTTCAATTGTTTTTGTTATTCAATTTAGACAAGAAAGATGGATACTGCGAAAATTCGAGTGATTTTTGAATACGAGTTCCGACGCGGAACTAACGCGGCAGAAACAGCCCGCAATATCAATGCTGCGTTTGGAGAGGGGTCTACTAATGAACGCACCGTGCGATTTTGGTTTAAACGCTTTCGTGATGGAAATTTCGACTTAAAGAACGAGGCACGAGGAAGACCGCCCACACAGGTGAATAACGATGAATTAAGAGAGATAGTGGAAGCCGATCCTAGTCAAACTACCCAGGAATTAGCGGCATGGTTTAACGTTACCTTACCCACAATATTAACTCACTTGCGTCAAATCAATAAAATAAAAAAATACGAAAAATGGGTGCCTCATGATTTGACTGATCTGCAGAAAGAAACGCGTGTTGAAACTTGTGTTGCCTTGTTGAACCGGTACAGAAATGAAGGAATATTCGATCGAATTGTAACATGTGATGAAAAGTGGATTCTTTATGATAACCGGAAAAGAAAAATGCAATGGCTGACCCTAGGTCAAATGCCACAACAGTGTCCTAAAGCAAAACTTACCAATAAAAAGGTAATGGTAACTGTTTGGTGGTCTCAGCATGGTGTTATTCACTATAGTTTTCTCCGATCTGGTCAAGCAATAACGGCAGATGTCTATTGTGCCGAACTCCGAACCATGTTGACAAAACTAGCAGTAAAACAGCCCCGACTCATGAATCGATCTTCACCATTATTGCTCCACGACAACGCGAGACTTCACACAGCACGAGAAACCATTTTGACCCTTCAGGAACTGCAGTTAGAAACCATTCGTCATCCTCCGTATTCACCAGACCTTGCTCCAACGGACTACCATTTTTTTCGTGATTTGGACAATTATCTACGTGACAAGAAGTTTTCTTCCCAGGAGGCAGTACAAAATGCTTTCACACAGTTTGTGCAGTCTAGATCGTCGGAGTTCTATCGCAAAGGCATTAATAACCTTCCCATTAGATGGCAGCAATGTATAGATAATATTTTGGTCCTTCGAGCCTTTAAGGATTTTCATCGTTTCGGGTTTCTTTGTGACGTTAGCGAATCGGTGCGGTTGGCCTCCCACAAGCGGGTCTCACCGACTGCATTGAGAAGGCGCATATAACGTCATAGAGGATCGGGAGCCGTGAAAAAACGAGATTTGTGAAACTTCACGATCTTCAAGAACTAGTGACCCTACGGAGACACGTGCCAAAGGATTTCATTCAACTTTCAACTGTACATTTAACTTAAACTTTCTACTTATATACTACATTAAACAACAACTTAACTAACTATTAACTATAACTATGGCAACTGACGTCTCAGAACTTATTGCCAACCAGGAATCAATTTTCCTAGCACTGAAGCAAGTATGTGAAAACTACAAGAAAGACAGTCCCTCGAGGAAAACGCTGGAGTACCTGGAGGAACGTCTACATCTCCTTAACTCTAGCTGGGAGAAGTTTGTGGGCTACCACATGAAATTAGTGAAAACAGGACTAACGGACATCCAATACTTCCGGGATGACGTATACGCGAAGATGAAAGCATTGTATGAAGAAGTGTTACAAGACATGCTCCAACGAAAGGCGGTGTTGACTACGAAAACTACAAGTAAGTCGGAAAAAACAACTACTTCTGAGCTTACAACATCAACTACTTCTAAATTTAATTTTGAAGAAGTTAAATTCGACGTACCACCTTGCGAAACAACTGAAACTAAAGAAAGGCAGCAAGAAATGTTACGGCAACAATATTGTAATTTTAGAGCTTTCGAACGCATTGTGGAGAAAACTTATATAGAAAAAATCACGGAGAAATGGGAGCTTGAAGATGCCTTGAAAATTTTAAAAAACAAGTGGGAAAATATAGAAAAAATACACTGGGAACTAGATTACATACTACAAGATGATAATTCAACTTACAAACTGAAATATGAAGCCTTAGAGAACGTCTACGATGTTTTACGTAAAGAATTAAACCACAAAATATGGAACAACTCACATTACCAACAATCTACGCCTAAGATTGTCATTCCCGACTTCTATGGGAACTACAATCAGTGGTTAACTTGCAAAGATCATTTTATAGAGAGCGTACACAACAACCCTCTCCTTTCTAAAGCACAAAAAATGCAGCACCTGAAGTCTAAGCTCAAGGGTGAAGCTGAGAGAATAGTATCACATCTCGGAGTGAGCGCCGAAAACTATACTTCCTGTTGGGAACTACTTACGACTAGATACGACAACCGGAGTCTACTATTCAATTCTTATATGAACACTCTATTCAACCACCCCACTTTGCATGAGGAGAACGCCGTGGGCATTAGAAAACTCCATGACGTCATCAAGGAGTGCCTAAGCGGATTACGTAACATTGGAGTCGACGTAGAGTCATGGGGACCCATAGTTGTATATTTTATGGGTCAAAAACTTGATCCCACCAGCTGCAGGGAATACAGGAAAGAACGTTACAATCCTAGAGGATTGCCGAACATAGAAGAATTCACCCAATTTTTGGAAACGAAATTCATGTCTCTTGAATCAATGCAAGGCGACCAAATTCAAAAGTCATCATCTATGAATAAACAACAAACTAACTACAAGCTTCCAAGTAACAACGTCAAACAGCAGCATAATAATTACAAAAATAATTATTATTCTCCGAAAGGGTCAACAAAATATAACAATTCTAAAATAGAGACAAATTCTTATTTTACTATAGCACGAACGTGCCCACTCTGCAAAACTGATCAACATGTGCTAATGCAGTGTCAGAAATTTTTGAATATGACCCCAATTGGTCGTCGTAACACAATTAGAAATTTACAATTGTGTAAAAACTGTTTATTTAGTCACGGAAATAAAATATGCACGTCTCAGAAAAAATGTAAACTTTGTAATAAGGGTCATCACACACTTATGCACGAGGCGGATATTGAAAACAATCATCAACATTTTAACCAACCATCAACTTCGAGAATAAATGCCGTTAATAACGTAACGAACGAAGATAAAGAAGTTTTACTAACCACTGTACAGCTGCGAACAAAAACTATAGATGGAAGTTACATAACGCTGCGAGGACTACTTGACCAAGGCTCTCAAGTAAGCCTAATTACTGAAGATGCTGCACAGCGGCTCAGACTAAAGAGAACAAAACTAAGCGCAGTAGTATCCGGAATCGGGTCGCAATCCGGAAACTGTAAGGGAGCTGTAAACTTAGAATGCAAGTCAATTCATTCCGACTACACGCTCAACATCGAAGCTTTGGTAATGAAAAAGCTTATAAATAACTTACCGAGCACTTCGTTTTCCATAGACAACTGGCAATACTTACAAAACTTAAAATTAGCTGACCCTAACTTCAACGTCTCGGGCCCGGTTGACCTACTGCTGGGTGCCGACCTTTACTCCGACATCATACTCGACGGCGTGATGAGAAGCGATAACTTACCTGTAGCACAACAAACGAAGATAGGATGGATAGTCAGTGGAAGCGTGAAGACGTTCAACTGCCTTGTAATATATAACGACCTGAAAAACATGTCTCGTTTCTGGGAATCGGAAGAGATAACTCCTAACTCAACCGATATAACTAATCAGGACTTCTGTGAACAGATGTATTCTGAAACTACAACTAGACTACCAAACGGAAACTACGTGGTTCAGATGCCTATGAAGCCAGGCTATGAACATGACTTACCAACTACGAGACCTCAGGCACTATCCCAGTTCATGCAACTTGAGCGAAAAATGGAGAAGAATAATGAATATAGCAGAGAGTACAATCGTTTCATGAATGAATACATTACAATGGGACTATCTCTACCAATTAAAGATACACATCAAGATATACAAGACATATACCAACTTATCTATGTGAAGGCTCGAGTTACAGAAAATTATTTGATGTTTGAACTTCATATTCCACTACTCAGTGAAGAAGAATATAAAATATACAGAATTATACCTATACCGTTCATGAGGCAAGGAAGCTTAAAACTAATACGCCCATCTTCGCAGTACATTGCTATCAACTTTGTGAAAAACTCATACATAACTATGGACGAAAATAAAATGCAGCAATGCATTGCATACAGCAAAGAACAATATATTTGCGTGGCAAACCAACCTGTTTATAACATACACGACAAAAATGCGCCATGCGAAGCAAACGTATTCAATCAACAAACGTCACACTCATGTGTCATCGATGACGTAGAATGCAAAGAGACGTGGACAAAACTGCATAGACCGAACATATGGTTATTTACGTTATGCAACAAACAACTGATACGAGTCATATGCGAGGATCAAGTTACGTCCGTGGCCTTGTTAGGGACCGGACTTATATCTCTGAAGCCAAAGTGCATTCTACAAAAAACAGATGCAACTATTTATGCATTTAACCACTTTGGTAATCAAATACAGATGGGAGTGGATATAAATGTACCTACTATAAACTCCTCAATTAACAACTTGTTCAACTTCAACTGGAACAATGCTGAGTTAAATGTGACCACACTCAAACCTGCACCTACCTTGGACTTCAATAAAATAGAACAGCAACTAACGTACCAGACAGAACACGAGAAGTTACCTATGACGTCACATTTATCTGTTCATGACGTTTACTTGTACTCAGTCACTACTTTGTTGCTGGGAGGAATATTTGCAGTAGCCCTCTCAGTTTATATAAGAAAAAGATGTATGAAAAGAAAAGACAGTACCTCTTCGTCCAGAAACTACACTAGACCTATCAAGACCACGGACCCAGATATCGAGTTGCAAGAAATACGCAATCCGACACCAGATGAACCAGTTTATAGCGAAGTGAAGACGAAACGAACGGCATTTCGTTTTGACTAATAACTTTTAATATTATTATATTTTTTGCTATGTGCTGGATGCTCATATGACTGAAACTTTTACCTTTTTTACTTACTTATACAATTGCTTTATTTTTACTTACTTATACACTTACTTTATCTTTACTTATACCTAAACACTTTCACTACTTACTTTTCACCTTTCCCTCGGGAGCAAACTATTTTGATTAAATAAATTTGTTAAAAATTTAAAAAATAAACAATTTAGATTTTCAGTACAAATCGGCAATTTCATACTTTAACCCCTATTACATTATATAATTTTACGCAAACGTTATAGCAATTCCTTTGAAAACATGTAGTAGTGTCACACCCCGGACTCTTCATACAACCCTCGAAACTTAGTTACCCATTACTACTACATAGCAAGGTGCTATCTGCACACGAGCAAATGTGTGCGTGAAGTGGCAGGGTTACCCATCAGTATTTCGTACTATTACGTTACGTAGTCAGAGCGGCAACATAGAGAAAATTCAAACGCGAATCTGTTATCTATAATTTTACTAATATAATCGTAATAATTACACATGTTCTTAGGTATTTATATAGATATAACATATATATTTTTCATTAGTTCACTAACTAAAATGATATTTAAGATTTATTTTTAATTTATTTTATTTTAAATAATATATTAACGGCACTTAAAATGTTATATTTTGGACACTTTTAAATAAGGTAACCAAGGTATTAAAATTGAATGTCCAAGTTTATCATTACCATTGTTAATAATTAGGTAGGTATATCCATTACGTAACATTTACCGGCAATACAAGTTGAAAATTCGAGAACGCTTGTCTACTCGCTCACGAAGTTATGGCGTCACATTTATTGGCATAATAAATCTGTATTATATATAGTATTACTCTGCTCTAAATACATGAAAAAAACAATAACCGAATGAGTGTCAGGGTCGTATTCCAGAACTCTACTCAATGCTCAACTCAGGACTTGAGTATGCTGTCAAACACTGGAAATACGACCCTAATGGAAATGGATTTGAGTATGATTTCCAGTGCTTCAAATCATACTCAAGTCATGACTTGAGCACTGAGTAGAGTTCTGGAATACGACCATCAGAGTCGTATTCTAGAACTCTACTCAATACTCAAGTCAGGACTTGAGTATTGCAGTAAGCACTGAAAATTATACTCAAGTACTTGCCATTAGGGTCGTATTTCCAGTGCTTGAAATCATACTCAAGTCTGCTCAAATCAGTAGAGTTCTGGAATACGACTCTCAGACAAGTCTTTTTAATTTGCTTCCTTTCATCTTTAGGAAAACGAAAGAAACTCGTCTCTTTATCCCGTTTAGACAATGATAAACAGCCGTACACAGCACAACTCACGACCATTATAAATAGTATCGTAAAATGATATTATATATTAACATACTAGTTTCATAATGAAATCTATATCTATATTCTCTAAATCTATATTCAAATATCAAAGCAATCTTAGCGCGAACACGGCTTGCCGATAGCCTTGTTGTCGTTCCGTCAATGTGATCGTCAATGTGCGGGGTGCGGTGCGGTATCTAAAGCTAGGGAGGGGCGGAGAGTGTCCATCTCGTTACTTTTTTGTTCACTGGTAGTGTGTATATATCGGGTTAAAAAAGGATCTCAGGGTATGCCTCTCGAACCTTACGTTATTTGCGCTAAGCCGAGAATCCTATTGGTTGTTTAAGAGAGTCATCACACGTATAGACACACAATCGCATTAAGATAGTCGGAAAAAGTTTTATTTCCATGAAATAAGGGTAAAAATTGTTCGAGCGGAAGCAAAACACGCAACGGCTTTTTAGCTGTTATTGTGCTTACATAAAACTATTTCTGTCCACCGCAAGCCGATTCCACGTTAATAAGTGTGGTGTCCCTAACAACTCGGAGATCTCGGTTTTGATAGGTAGGCATTATGCCCCGTTTTCAGAGTACTAAGTGATTACTTCCACACGTCCGTGATCAGGGTGCTTACTCTTGTTTGCATTAGCATACTATGATTAAGGTTGAGATTTAAAAAAGTTTGACTTCGACTAAGCAAAAATGGGGAACTAAGAAGTTTTTCGTATTTACAAAACGTTTAAAAAAAAGTTTAACCAAGAAATTAAATTAAATTTTGAGTTTAATTCATTACGTCTTACTTAAATTTAGGCAAAGTTCGTTTAGTAAATATGAAAAAAATGCTTAACTCGCCATTTTTCTTTATTCGAAGTCAAAGATTGTTCTACAAATCTCAGCCTAAGTATACATAAATAGAATAAATATTCACTTCATTTAATAGAAACGAAGTAATCGGATGCAATAGCATCCGATGTCAATGCGCCGATTTGGCGACTCTTGGGCTGTAATGCTGATTTAAACTGTCGCAATGCGGGTTGGGGACTTTCAAAGATTTTGTTAAATTTTCTGTCATTTGGATAGGGACTGCATTGGCGTGCATTTGTTAGAACCCACTTTCTTATTCTTTAACTTTTACTAATTTCGTCGCGATGGCCAATTGACGAATGTAGCCGTTTATGACGTCAGAGACATGTCATCGTAATTATATGTAGAATATGTGCCAAGATATAAGCCTAATTCCGTAAGAAGTTCGTTCATCAAAAAAAATGATTTAGTACACATCCGTCAGATTCCTCTTTCGTCAGATCATACCTTTATTCCGTGTAGGTCAGAAATTTGTTGCTGGTAACGAAATAGTAAATTATCGTGATGGAATCACGTCACGTCAGATTCCGCTTTCGTCAGAAAGTTTTTTTATGGACACTAGTCAAATTTCGCGTTTGTCATAAGTTGTCAGTTAACGATTATGAAAGGTATATTTACTAAGGACATACATTTCTGACCTATATGGAGAAAAGAAATGATCTGACGAAAGAGAGATCTGACGGGTGTGTACTAAATCCATGACAAAAGCGAAATTTGACGAAAGTGTCGTTATTGGTTGTCCACATTCGTCATTCCTGATGAACCTGAACTGAAATCATGAAAAAAACTATTTCTAACGAAACTGGAATATGATGGATGTGTACTAAATAAAAAAAAATACATAATTCAACAAAACTATTTTCATTAACAAGGCATTTCTTTTCAGGTGACGTAAACGCCGCAATCAACTTGGTGTTTAGCGGAGCCATCACAGATGATTAAATGTATTGTTTGAATCATATAAACCTCATAGAACCCTTAAATATGACGAAATTCTTTTGACATCATAGAATCAATTGTGCTGAACTAAATATGCCGTATGAAATTGTTTTACACGAAAGGGCTTAAAAAGGCAATTTTAGTAGAGTTCATTGATTCTAGGATCAGAAAAAAATATTTCATTTAGCTGAACGCCGTATCTGCCGAAAATACCAGATATCTAATTCTGCAGGTATGGCGTTGTACTATGAACTGGTAACAAACTAATAAGGAGTGAAATAAAAGTGAAAAAACATTTTCGTTTGAATTATTTATTACTTAAAATTTTGAAATATTGCGTTAAAACTAAAAATATCACTGGATGCGAGAATCCATAAGGGCAAGTGTAAATAAATACTGTATGAGTAATAAAATAAATGTATTATCAAAATACTAGTTTTGATAATTTCCACCTAAAATACATAAGGACATAAGGAGCACTAAATTAAATTTGCATTTGCATATCAGTCGTTCAGAAAATGCAAAATTATTTTTGCTTTGCAATAGGGTTAACTTTGCCATGTACATACAATTCTAACAATCCTAGTTGTTGCTAGCTTTAAAGAATGAGCCAAGTGAGTTTCCTTTAAAAGTGTTTGCACAATCTTAAGACTATAAATCGGAATTATGTACTAATAACATTAATTACAAATATTATGTAGTAATTAATTAGCATCAAGTCCAAAAGACATAGATCTAAATTACATAAAGTTAGTACAAAATAGAGGATTCATAAAAGTATTAGACAAGCTATGAGTGCTAAGCACCAGCAAAGCTTAAAAACTTTGATATTGTTTTTTAAACACTAACAATGTCTGCATCAAGGAAGAGGAATTTTTGTAAATGCTGCTCTCGAAAGTAGATTTAAGCACTGAATGATTTCTACGTAATTAAAGCATTCTATTAACGACACTATACTTAGCGACATTTGCTACTTCAGTGAATGCTTGATAAGAAAGATTGACTACAAACATTCCTCTGCCTTGTAGCGCACCACTTCATAACACTTACTATGTGCATGGTGAACACAATACTATTATCTCAATCTGATTAATCACACCCATCATCGCTCCTAAGAGCGACGTCGATCATTCTACATTCCTATGAACATAGCTACATTTAACAATTTCTTTCAATAGACTCAATATGGGTGTATCCCGTTGTTTATGACACAAAATTTTCCTGAAAATTCTTAGAATGCTCATGTCTTAATGTTTGGTTTTATAATTCATGATGCGCTTGGATAGTCTTTTATAAGTGCTGTTATCTCCCTTGACGCGGCATTGCTCTCGGCGCTGCATGCGCCGAAAATACCAGCCAGCAGTGTTGGGAGTAGATTCTCCAAACAACTCTTGTTCAAGTTTCTTTCTAGCTTCATTACGAAAGGCAGCCCTCGTCTCATACCAATTCGCTTCCTTATCTCTGTTATTCTTCCCTTTGACTTTGTTCCGCTTGGATACACGACTTTCGGTTTTTTCCAGCTTCGATTTATGATCACTATCTGGTTCTGTTGACTTTACATTTTCGTCAGTTTCTGAAAACTGACCAACATAGTTGTTGCGCTCGAATTCGCGGCTTAAGAAATTTTTATCGGGATTTCTCAAGGCATATTCGTTATCTTGTCCAGATGTTATAGAAAAATCATCATAGTCCTTCATGTAACCTCCTTTCATCTCCCATTGCTCATACTTGTTCTTCCTCTTTTGCTTCTTGTGACTCTTTTGACGATCACTCTTCTTCCTTACTATTTTGTACTTGTTTCCTACATACCTGTCGTCTTTTCTCAATTCATCTTCACTCATAGAATTTTCAGAAATAGTATCGAACTCTTTCGGTTTTCTTTTCTTAGCAAGTACCTTCGTTTTATTAAATGATACTTCATTCTGAATACTTCTTTTTACCATTTTGTGGCCAGATTTCAAGGAATCCGCATAAGATACCCTTTTTTCTGGTATTATATCCTTTACAATATTATGTTCATACACATTGGATATAGAATGTGTTAACGGATCTGTAACATTTATTATTTTTTCAACGCTGCTGGGTAGTTCGTTTATTATTTCTGATTGTTTCTTTAAGCTCTCATTGTATAAAGACTTTTTGCCTTCATTTAATCTAATTGACTTGGGGGATTTTAAATTATTTTTCATTTTTTTTAAATACTGTTCCTCATTCTTCATGCGTTTAGCGATCTCTTCATCAAGCCAACTCTTATTTTGTTGATATACATTCTTCAGTTTGTCAATGTCACTTAAAAAATCTTTCTCATACTCATACTCTATTGCTCTAATATCCAAAATCTTTCCAGGCATGATTTCATTGTCAACACATTTGGTGATTTTGTCTACATTTTTGTTAGTCAAAGGCTCCTCAAAAACTTTTCTACATTTTTGTCTTAATGGTAGCTTTTCGGTTTCTGCTTTTCTGTATTGCATATGGATGTTGTTTATAAAAGTGAGTTCTTTTAATTTATTGCGCAAATATGCATTTTCTTCTTGTAGTTTATAAAGGTTTGAAAGTATTTTATTGACCGAGGGTGTGGCGTGCATTGAGCATTCATTTTTAGCACCCCACATATGACCAATAGCTACACCTGCAGCAGTGATGACGCTCCCCAGTACTATGATATTGAGTACAGTACTCAGTCTCTTATTTCGTCGATGGACATACGTTTTCAGTTTCCCGGTGTTATCTCCAAGAAAATCATCGTCGCCCCTTACAGACTCTTGACTTTCGTTACGATTATTGGTAGGGTGTGGTGGATTTATCGAAACATATTCTGGGATTTCTGGGTCTGTTGGACGGTCCTCCTCTAGCAAACATTTGTCAAAAGTCAACTCGCAAGGTGTTGTTGATTCAGGGTCACTGTCACTTATTATGGATATTCCATCAGTGTCTTCATCTTTTTCATTGTGTTCCGCCGCATCTCTGTGAAGAAAACAAACACTATTGAAATTAACACAATCAAAGAGGGTCATCTAAAATGGTATCAGACAGATCTGTTGAAGTAAATACATACTAAGTGCACTAGTTACTGTCTGTTGTATTTATACTTACAGTTGTTATAGGTACAGACGGCAGCACATAAAGCTACACATAGACGGATCTTGTTCCATTGCACTGGACGCAATATTCAAACAAAAGCGTATAGCTTGATGTGCTATTAACTGTACCGTTGATAGATACCATTCGTTTTGTAAGAAATTCTACATAAATCATTATTTATTCCAAATTTAACACCTGCTATACACTTTATGAATCAGTACTATACATAATTAGAATGCATAACTAAAATATGTAGATCAAGGTGACAAAAATGAGTAAATGTTTATGATCAATTGACATAATTTTTCCTGTAGTTATATAATGATAACATTGTTGTCATTGGTTCAACTAACAATATTATCACAACACTGTACCAAAACATTAGTTAATCATGTGATAATATTATCTCATAAAACTTTAACTTTCTCAAATGTTTTATTTCTTATCAAGATCTTTTATGTTATATATTCAATTTCTATCATACAATAATAAATAAAAATAAAATAAGGAATAAAAATAAGGAATCCGAGTATTACAACAATGATCAAAGATCCGATTCAAGGTAATAAAACCATCTTTATATACCATACATTTGTACATTATTAATATTTATTCTATGCCATGCGACTGATGCAACTATGTATGTAGCACATTTATTATTACACAGCTTTACCTAGTTTGAGCACCAGTCTTCCACATTCAAATGGTTACTTTGATATTATGGTGTGAAATTTAAGTGTCAATGTGGAATAAATAAACTATTATTAAAAAAACCAAACTATTATCTCTGAATAAAAATTTAATGCTTTCTTAACTCACAGATGAAAATTAAATGTGATAGCTTGCATAAGTCATTTTTATAATGTGTTATTGATTAGGTATTTGATTTCCAATTTAATAATCTGATATGACTGGTTTAAAAATTTACAATGGTGGGTATAATTTATGTATTTACTTTATAGTTAAATTAATTTGGCTTTTATATCTCCAGTAAAATGTGTGTCTTGTAAGAACTGTAGATTGTATACAGTGAATATATATATATTATATGGGTGACAACTCAAATTACCTATTGTACCTTAAACATTAGCAGTGATAAAGGACTTTTTGACTGTTAAAATTAATTTAAAATTCCATAAAATAGTGAGATCTAAATTTAACTTGTCTGCTCAGCTTTTACTTAACATCTGTATTCTACATTCGTAAGTAAGACAAAGAGTTCTCAAAATATTTGTTCATGAAAGCAAGACAATAAAGGAATACGCCAGGTCATTCACTGCTCCACTTTTGGCATTTTTCCAGCATACCAAAACTCGGTTATATACTTTGACAAAACACATTTTGGCTTACCTTTATGAATTATGGAACTTCAGAACAAAAACCGATAAATCCAATTTTAATTTCGTCAGTCTCATTTAATGGATTTGTTGCATTTTATTCGTATTTTTAAGGAGTATTTAGCAGTTGCTGTTCAGGTTTGATAAACAATTCATACTAAAACTACAGTTTGGCATTTAAAAAGTGGAACAAATTAAAATGTAATTTATTGGTTTTTGTTACGATACTCCTTAATTGTGGATATTATTATTATTGTTTTTAACAGTAACTGCATTAAATAAACTATTCATTCTTATCTATAACTGATTGCTACCTACTCTATTTTTAATGTATATAGCTGGTAAGTTTATTTCGAGACCTATTACAGAAAGTATTATTAGAGATAGTAATGCCATACAAAACAACCTGGTGTTATGTACTATGGGGGCAATATTGATAGTAAAAAAGTTTGTAGTCTGTAGATATACAAAATAAAATTGTTTTAGTTTTCAATATATTGTAAAGATAATAATAGTTGTGTCAAGAAAATTGGATCAATACACGAAATGTTATGGTAAGTATGTAGGTATGTACACAACTGCGGCACATGATATTACGACGTCAAGGTCAATCCTAGTCCACATAGGCGCAGCTAGTTACATCTGTCATAAATCAGTCAACCATAAAATACTACATATGGTAGTTCAAAACAAAAAAAATAACTTACCCTTCCTGTCGAGCATGCTCCCCAGAAAAATCCGGGGCGTCATCCCCGTATGTTGGCGTATTTTCCAGCAAGGTCCAACTCTCTCCTGAATCTGAGTCGCTGTGCTCGAAGGCAGCCCCGTCCATTTAAATAAATCTTTAAAGAAATTAATGTCAAACTATGTAAAATTTGCAAATAAAAACCTAAAACTAGGAATTACACAAACTACACTCACCTCAGAGCAACTCTTGCAACAAAAAATTTATAAACCAACGAGTTATTAAGAGTCCAGCTTCACTAAAATTTAAACTTTTCAAAAAATAGGAATTTGCGACATGTTTTGTATTTTGTTTTTGTATAGCGAGACAACGTCACGATTGCGATTATGTTTTGTTTTGTTTGATTGACGCAGCGAGCAACCACAAACAAATCAATGGCGAAAATCCGCGAAATGGCGAATGGAGAGAAAATCGAACGATTGAGTGATATTGAGTTGACCGACCGAATGATTTGAAAGACGACCTTGAAAATACTACTCATGAAAATAATATTTCTCTCGTTTTTACATTAGCATTTGTGCGAAACCAAAAGAGAGAAAGATATACAAGGTATAGGTCGATCTGTACAATTAATTAAATTTTCATTCATTCGGTATAGTTCCGTCCGTTTCAAAAGATATTTCTCAACGTAGAACTTAATATGAGCCTTCGATGTTATATTTTTCCAATTTTTCGGGATAAATTTCCACCATTGAAATTTTTCAGATAATTACCCGACAATACTCGGTGTAGTTGTTAACTCAGGACATTGCACTGTTAAAATATCCGAACTATAAATATGATTACAACCATAGTATTACAATATCTTCCCTGTAACTTTACATCCATTTGCATTTTACAATGCATTATAACATTTTAATTTGTTTGATTCCTGTAGTTACATAATTTATTTTAAATTGGCTAGTTTTGGTAACATAGTATGCACATACGTACAACATACCCTTAGTTTCCATAGTCTAAGAACATACCATACGTACGATTTCAAATTGGAAAGTAGCAACATTGAACATGATAAAAAAAAAAATAACACGAACCGTTTGTATGTTGACTGCATTTGCGATTATCAATTTTATTTTGCGTATTTCTCTAAATTTTCTGTATCTCATTGCTTTATAACGTTATCATGTTCTACCAATAGAGGGGTTTAGCGAAGGGATATTCAGCTGCTCTATAAAACATTGCCTTTCGCCATGTTTTTCGAAGAAGACGAGGAGCGATTTCTCAATCCTGAATTATTTCATGCCGTCAGCCGTGAACTTTGTATGTATAGTGTTGCACGTCATTTATTCCGTTTGTTTTGAAAGTCGAAAAGTTGTACAATTTATTAGTTCCAGATGCTATTAGTTCGAACCTTGAAGTAACTCCTTATGGTTTGCGAAGTGTACCCACTCACACTGAAGATGGGATCCCTATCAGGAAGTTGTATGTGTCCAACCTACCGCCGAAGGTAAGAAACGTCTCGAAAGCAAACTTTTTAAAACCATTTGAATTAGGAGGCTGTTTTGTTATTAAATAGGTTAAAATAAATTAGCAGTGTTTCTATACTAAACACATATCTTGTCATTTTCAACACTAATGTGTTATATTTCTATTTATTTGGTACATTAAACACTAGTGCACTGAATATATGAAATAACTGCAAGTTTTAGCTGCAAGAGTTTTTTTTACAAATATCGCCTCATGTGTAACAGAACAAAATTCGTCATTGTGTAGCTTGATGTGCTGCCATCAGTACATGGAGCCCATACATTGGAAAACTGAAATAGGTACTGTTGCCCTGAAGACACTGATATATTTAGCTACCATTACAATAACATGTATATTTTGGTGTAAAAATACAATAGAGACAATAAAATCATTAAGTAGTAAAAAGCTATTATGACAGTAACCTGGTTGATTTGACAAATTCTACCACTACTAACGTAGTCTATAGAACCTTTCAAAATATGAATAAATCTGAATCTAGTGATATTTTTCTGATTTCAGACAACACGTACAGAGCTTTTTGGGGTGTTTGCCCAGTATGGCTTTATCAAGAGCTGCTGGCTGCGAATGGGTGACAAGGGGCCAAATAAAACACCCACACCAACATATGCGTTTGTTACTTACAGCAATCCTGCTGATGCTCATAAGTATGTTCTATTTCTGAATATATCTAAAAATACATAAATATACGTTTTAAACTAGGTTTAAAAACAAATAACTATGCATTTGTCATTTTAGATCTTTTTAAATTATGATAAGCTTGTAAAATTACAGGCACATGGGACTTGTCCACTTGGCGCTGTAGCAGTGCCCCTCCGATCTTTGCGGCTTAAAGCGCTGAGCGGCACTGCAACTGCTAAGGACAGGCCTGTCGCTTACCACTGTACTGTTTTAGTAGCAGTATAATTTCTTGTGAAAGAGTTCGTCCAGGGAAGTGTTACAATCTTACCTATTTCTGCCACCAAGCAGTAAGGTGAGAACTACTGCATTCTGGTTTGGAAGAGTAAGAGTGCTGGTGAAATTATAGGCACATGGGACTTGTCAACTTATGTCTCAGGGCACAGTGGCAGTGCTCCTAAAATCTTTGCGATTTAAAGCTCTGAGTGGCACTGCAACTGTTATAGATGTTGCTTACCAATATGCAAAGGTGAAAAATTAATTATAAAAAATATTTTATAATTAATTTTCTATTTCAATTTATAGTTGAGACTACTAGCACATGCTTATAGAGAGTTAAGTGTGGTAAATATATCAGTATTAACATAATATTCAATGTTCCAGAGCACTCCAAGCACCAAAACAAGAAAAGCAGTTACGAGGGCGTAACCTGAGAATATCACCAGCAGACAGCTGGCATCAACCAGCTGAAGATGCTAACGGCAGAGTGCGCTGGAAACCAAGAGGCGAGCGCATAGATACAGATACCCTTGGATCTCACAGCAGTGATCAGCAAAACCCGCTGGATGATGGTGAGTACATACATAATAATAATCATGCTAATTTACTGGATTGTATAAAGTGGATTTCATGTGTTATCAAAAAATCAGTTGCTTATTCAACCATAATAAAATATTGAGGTGCGTTACAATCATTGCAATTAATTAACCATAATTTCAAGCACAATTATTTCTTAACATTGTAAAAATACATGCTATGTTTATGCACTCAGGATAAGCTCCAAAATTTATATGACATCACATACAAAGAACTGAAATTGTATGCGAATTTATAGCATGCATACATGCAGGTTCTGTCCCATTTTTGTTCCAGTTGCTGCCAACCCTGAATCTTGTTCAGAACATGGAGAAGGAACTAGTTCAGAGACTAGTGAACAAGTTGTTGTAAGCAATGTTTAACATATTTAATCTTTTAGTAATAATACTAATATAATAACTTACTGCACAAGCGATGCAATGTAGTAACCCTAAAATGTATAACAATATTATATTGTATCCTCCCTTAAAAATCAAATCAAATCAAAAGCCTTTATTATTACTTTATTAATTAACTAAATCGACAATACAGTATGTATTAAATTTCAATATATTTAAAACAAATGCTCTATCTCTCCCAACTCTATCCAGATGGATAGAGCTGGGGGTGACCTGTGCATCTTTAGGATGCGCTGATGTTATAGTATAAGTAATTCATGAATATAATTGTCAATATAATTGAATGTCAGTATAGTATAGGTTAATAAGTAAGTAAATAAATAAATAAAAATGTTAATCCTCTCTTACCACAGTAACTTAACTAATAGCCAATATGTGATTACAAAAACCGAAGTGAGAGTGAATAAATATTTTATTCTTATTACTAATGGACATAACTTACAAAGTTCCCACTATAAAGTTATTTGCATATTTTGATTTAAAACTTCATGTTCTATGTTGTGACGTAAATGGTTTATTTTAGTCAGCTGTGACCATGGGACCTGTAAATGATCCGAAACATTGGTTTGTTTGAAAAAAATTAATGTGCCCGATTTAGTTATGATATAATAGTTTCATTTCCTTTGATTCACTTTAGTCAAAATGTTAATTTATCCATCCCGTCTGTCCCATATCTCATATTCTCTTGTTTTTGGTCTTTTCATTTTGTTCTTTTTTTAATTTATATGTGTGTAAACGCTTTAATCTCGATAATAAATAAAATTGCAGTGTAGTTTTTATACTACTTTATAGCCAAACCCAGAGGAAGAGCCTGAGGAAGAGGCGAGCTATACAATACTGGACATCCTAAACCGTGACTGTATGAACCACGTGCTCACGTATGTGCCAATAAGAGATCTCATCCGCTCAGAACGTGTCAGTAAAAATTGGCAAAACATGATTCAGGAGTATTTGTCAAGTGAGTAAATGTTCACGTAATTACCATACCATCACCAAAGTGAAGTAGAGACGAGTGTTTTGACAGCTGTGCTCTGCTTTGCCAGTTGTGATTTGCTCATGGTAAATAATGGACCTTACATAGTTATTATGTGTTGCACTTGCTATGTTATTCATTTTACTTTTTGTGACATAATAGTCCATGGTCCTATAGTATTAACTTATATTTGGGAGAGGATTTAAGCCTTAGTCCGCCACCGTGCACAGTGTGGTTAGTTCATACTATTAAATAATAAATGTTGAAATAAATGCACAATTTCATACAAGGAAGTGAAAAAGATAGTGACCTCTTATTGACTAGCATAGTACTTAAGAAACGAGTGGTGTGGCAGGCATCCGCATGTTCAAGACATCGTGGTGGCAGCATGTGCCGGTAACGTTGACGACAGCGGTGCTGCGGCGCGTGTTGGCGCGGTTGGGCGGTGCACTGCTGCGGCTGCACATAGACCACCACTGGTCGGCACTCAATGACCGCACGGCCCATACCGTCGGCAAGTTCTGCCCGCACCTTGAGGAGCTCAAGGTACTATGACAAGACCCTTCAGCAAATTACTAAGAAAACTAACTACATATATATTTTTAAATATAGATTTATACAGTCAATTCCATATTTATTTATTTAAACTTAATTGCACACAAAACAGTACAAATACTTAATGCCATTAGGCATTCTCTACCAGTCAACCGAAGAGCTGGGTTCAAAATAATGAACAGGGGTGCAAACATGATAATTAAAACAGATAGGAAGAAGTTATCTAGTCATTTTGCTACCAACACATTGTAAGTTATAGCCTCTCTGCAGAGGTAGTCGTTTTCGATCTAGCCCTTATGCTGGTTAGGTCATTTTGATGATATAGTGATTATGATACTGACCCACCTGTTCTTCGCGTTGTTTTATGCATGTGACGATGTGATTGTATTACATTTTATTTCTTATTTCAGGTCGTCGGTATGCACACGAAAAATTGGAACCCACTTATATATGGTTGCAAACAGCTCAAGAATCTCTCGTTCATATCTTGCAATAAGGTAATTGGTATTATACTCCGTTTATTAAGTTTATATATGGGGCCATTGACCCTTCTGTGAGACTGTTATTATCAGGATGGCTTAGGTCAGGATCTGTGCAGCCTTTCATCAGTGCAACCAGTAATTGATATACTGTGATCACCTCTAATTATCAGGGATCGGAATAGGTAGATCTTTTTACCTTAACTTCGAGGAACATAGACAGAAAAAGGAGACTGCCTCACGACAATATTTTTTAGGTCCTGGACCTGTTCGAAATTCCAGAATCCCGTACCCCAATTACTTATGAATAGGCATAATTGGGGTCGCATTTAGTGTCCAAATCTATAGAAGATAGGTCTAATAATACGTCTGTAGCGATTCCAAGACTAGACTGAGAGTCGTATTCTAGAACCCTCAATCCTCAAGTCAGGATTGCAATTGAAACACAAGCACTGGAAATACGACCCTAATGGCAGGGACTTGAGTATGATTTCGAGTGCTTTAAACCATACTCAAAGCCTGACTTGAGCATTGAGTAGAGTTCTAGAAAACGACCCTCAGACTTTGAAACGATGAGGCACTAAAGGTAAGGTCCCATACAAAAAATACACATGTTATTTTTTTCCTACTGAACTATTAGACTTATGGTAAAATGTGACATGACAATATTTAATTAGGACGTGCCAATCGAGAGAAGGATCTCTCGCCAAAATGCCAATTTTTGAAGAAAAAAAATGTCAAATTTTTTTAGAGAGTTATCGTGAAAAAAAAAACCAATATCCGTAATACCGCAGATCAGACCCACTGTGTGTCGCAAAGTTAAGATAAATATAGTGTACCTGCCTGTCCCCAAATTACGTCAATTTTCAATGTTCTTAAGCGATTTCCCGAATCCCGAACAGGTTCAGGACCAAAAAAACATTGTCGGCAATTACGGCAATCTCCATTTTCTGTCTGTGTTCCTCGAAGTTTAGGTAAAAAAACTCTACATATTCCGATCCCTGCTAATGCACTTCAGAGCCAACAGCAACAGTTTTAAAGAAAATTAGATTTAATTTAAAAAAAGAAAAGCATTTTCCTGGCTTCGCCTGTTTTAATCTCAATAATGAGTGTAGTGTGCCATTGACTAAGAGGGAATTTACAGTCTCAGCACCACTGTGTCGCCATTATTTAATGTAGTTGTTAGTACTCGGTTAGTTTGTTCATTCAATGTGGTAAAACTTATTCTATTCTATTCTAAAATCCTATTCTGCCTCATCAGATTAGTTGGTTGCACTGTATTATGTATCAGTGGCCAGTGGATAGAGGTTTTTGGTACTTGCGATATTGACATGTGGTTATAATATGAATATGCCTATTTTATAGAGATCATTTCGAATGGTTTTGTTGCAAAATGGACTTTCCTCCCAAAAATAAGTTTTGTCCAAGTATATCCACAGTCCCTTGTTATGCTATTTTTATGATTTTAATTGATTTCATATGAAGAATTGTCTTAAATACAATAATGAATAATTGCTAACTGTATCCTTGTAAGTAACTAACTAACAAACAAACAAAGAATATTCTTGTGTCATATATAGAAATTTAAATAAATTTTATAAAATGAAGTTAAACACGCAAAATAGGTGCCTTGTCGTCGAGTTGCGGATACCAGCCCGTTGCACCAAGTACCAAGTACATTGTACTTTTTGTACAATGTACTTGGTACTTGTTGTTTGTGTTTGTTAAGTACATTGATTTGCCAGTTTGAAAAAACAAGTCGAAACTAAAATTTCTGTGGCAAGATGTTACTGAGATTCCTCCAATATTTTACGATACGAAAGAAATAAACACAGGATTTTGCATTGGATTGGCAACATTGTCATTGTCCCGCGGAGTCATATTGATATTAAACATAATGTTTGAGGTAATTGACCTGAACCAGGTCCATCTACTCCAATCACTGGTAATAATGTACAGAAACAACTTGTTTGTTAAACATTACAGAGTCTGTATTAAATATGTGGCATAACATATTTGTACATAACTATAAACCTGCTTAACAATTAGTGGTAGATAATTACGCGTATTTATGTAATATGATCGTTTGGCATAATTACATCTTTTTGATGGCATGTTTTTTTTTTTCGCAGCTTACAGATTCCAGTCTAGTGCAATTGGTAAAGAGTGACTCCTGCATAGAAAGTTTAACAGTTGCAAATAACACACATGTAACCGGTCTCTTCTTGACTGGTTCCAATCCACCCAAGCTCACCTCACTTGCGTTCTTCAACTGCTACAGCCTACAAGGCACTGTATTAAGTGCAGCCATTGATACCATACCTACTCTGACTACACTTAAATTGGATGTATGCCCTGTGTCAATGTGGAAGATTGTTCCTACTATATTGAACAAGCTACCAAAATTAGAAGAGCTTTCCCTAAGTGAATATACATCTGTGGAATTGTGTTTGATGCCTCAAGGCAACGAAGCCTTTTGTAGTGCGCTATCGAAGCTATCGGAATTAAGAACGTTGAATCTGAGCAGAAACATCTATATAACAAATGCCGTGCTCAAGCAGGTCGCCCAATCATGTCCAAAACTGCAGATGTTGAATGTGTCCAGTTGCAACTCTAGGAAGCACTTCCCCCACGCGGGTAAGGCTATATATCTGTATAACTGATTCATATTATAAAAGTTGTATGCGATTTTTTTTGCGTAAATTTGTTTTACACAGTTACGATAATTATCGTTACGCTGACGCCATTTGTATTTTTTTTTTTTTTAATAACGCACACACGACGTAGCCCCGCACTAGGGAAACCCTGTGTCGCGGGTGCCATGGAGGCAGTTAAAAGTTATTAAAAAGTTATTCGTAGTATCTGTTTTTAAATTTTGAAAATGTAACACAAGAAATGATTGTGAGTCAACATTCTTGTTGTTTGTGGAAAGAATGAGCTGTATAAAAAAAATCAAAGTCGAAATGTCCTAGTCAAAAATTTATTTGTCAGCATTTGCACGTTGATGATATACTGCTGCTCCACAACTTCAGTAGCTAAGGTTCAGGGCGCTGGGTGAGGTACGATTCCCGGTAAGACCAATTTAGGAAATGGGCTTCTTTCAATTGGTTCCCATTAGAAAAAAAAGAAAGAAAATAATATTTATTTAGTACAACGTAAATCTTAATATTAAACATTGAGATCCAAAATGGTCACCACTCAGCACTTGTCAGGTTGTGCATGCAAAACAACCCAACGCTGATATTCTTTGGTGGCTGAGGAACGGACAATGAATCAACAAAACATATCTTAAATTTAAAATATCGAAATAACACACTTTACAGAGAAAAATATTTATATCTAAATACCTAATATTATTATATAATTTTTTTTAAAGATGTAACAATATTAGTGTGGTCGTCGTTAGGGCAAGGAAAAAGTAATTATTTACTCTGATAGTCAACACATACAACATTTCACATGGGACTTATCAACTTATGTCTCATGGTGACAGGCGCAGTGTTCCTCAGATCTTTGCGATTTAAAGCTCTAAGTGGGCACTGCGACTGCTATGAAAAGGCGCTCGATACCAGACTTACGACTTGTTCGTCCTGTCACTTGGTATCGTGAAAAAAAAAAACATGCAAGGATAATTAGTGTGGTCATCTGGCACAATGAATTGAACCGATTGTTGTGTGACGAATGAAGGCGTGGGCGACGACGGCGTCCTGGCGGTGTGCCGCAGCTGCGCGGACCTGTCGCGGCTGGACGTGTCGTACCTCGCGGCGCTGACGGACGCGGGCGCCGCCGCCGCCGCGCGCTGCCTGCGCCTGCGCTCACTAACGGCCAGAGGCAACGCCGCGCTGTCCGCGGCGCCGTTCACGCAGGTGCTGCACGCATGCCACCAGTTACAGGTTCGTTCTATGCCTGATTGGATGTCCAATGATTACTACACATTACAAACTCGGTCCTCTCGTGGTGTGCTGGACAGTTTGGACACCTCTCATCTCTGATTTTATTTCTAATTTTATTCTAATTTAATTTTTTTCTGATTAGTTAATCATACAACAAAATCAAATCAAATCATTTTATTCGTCATCATGGGTACAATAAAGATGATAACATTTATTTTATGGTCGCCATGACGTACCATCAAGGCATACGAATTATACTATTATTATTAATTATACTTGTCCAATACTTCCAAATAATAATAATAAAATAACACTAATAATTATCATTAAATAGTCACAAACCACTGATTATAGGCTTCCACCTTCACAGGACCAAGTCTTAAAATCTACAACAGTTAGGACATCAAAACAAAAGTAATTTAATTAAGATAATAATCAATGTAAATAAATCAATGTCATACAGTCACGTTCGTCTCAATAATAAATTAATGTGAAATTAGTTAGCAAAATTCCTTTAATGTATAAAATGATTTTTCAATTAAATACTCAAATAATGTGCGTTTAAATTCAGCGAAATTTTCATTCTGCCTTACCTGTAATGGCAATTTATTATAGATTTTTGGTGCCATTACAATTATACTCTTCTCAAATAGTGACGTTTTACAATTTATTTGGCGTAGTTGGTTAGGACGTCGTGCTCTTGTAACTACAGGAAAAAGTTGTGGGTGTCGTCGTATAAATAAGGCTGTTTCATAGATATATAATGAAGGCAAGGTCAAAATTTTTAGTTCTCTAAAATAGTTTCTGCAACTGTCGGTCTGTTTCAGTCCACAGATTGCCCTTATGCACCTCTTTTGAGCTCGAAAAACTTGTATTATGTTGCTACTATTACCCCAAAATAAGATACCATATCTGAGTGTTGCAGCTACGTAGCTGTGGTAAACTACAAGTAAAGCGTTTTTGTTTACCACCTTAGACAATTTAAAGAGAGCGTATGATTGTTTCGATAGCTTGTTACATATTATTTGAAGTTGTTCGTCCCATTGCATTTTCCTATCAATGTGAAGTCCAAGGAATGTGGTTCCCGATGTTTCACTGATAACACGAGAGTTATAAATTAATTTGTTTGTCAAAGAGTTATTGCCCCTTTGCTTGAAATTCATAATTGTCGTTTTGTCAAGACTTAGTAATAAATTATTAAATTGAAGCCATGTCATTACATTTGTTAGGGATTTTTTTATTTCAGTCTCATTTTCAAATAAAATAGTACAGTCATCAGCGAATAAAGTTATGTGATTTGGAATTGATTTAGGCATGTCATTAATATAAATAATAAACAGCAATGGACCTAGAACGCTACCTTGTGGAACCCCATATTTTACTAGTCTAGGAGAAGATTCGTAAATAAGAAAGCATCCATGGGTGCTTGAAGCCGGTTTGACCTACCGCCTCTTAAGTTGAGGCCGCGGGTTCGAATCCAGTCTCACACTTCTGAATTTCTCGAAATTAATGCTTTCGGTGAAGGAAAACTACGTGACGAAACTTGCACGTCAAGTCAAGTTCGCAACCTTGGGAAAGCGTGTGAACCCAAACCGCATTAGCCCACCGTGTCGGACTATGGCCTGCACGCTCGCCTGACAGGAGACCCGTGCCCAGCAGTGGGACGTGTAAATGGGTTGATGATGATGAGTACTTTAGTCACGGTAAAGTTTTGCTTGCCCTATTCGCCGCTGTAATGCGATAATTTATAATGGAAGCGAGCGATCTTCCATGTCCTTATCCCACGCTAGGTAAGGTCGGCACAACATGTATTTTTCATTCACTCTCCCCTATCAGCCGTCATTTCCATACTCACACCTTTCTTAACCATGTCGTCTTTCACACAATCCATCCAGCTTTTTTTTGGCCTTCCTTTCCCGTTATATCCGGACGGATATATATATATATATGATGTGGAGACATTCATACCTAACACTCTTCTCGTCACGTGACATACTTCCATACCACGGTAACCTGTTACTCCACACCCATCTCAATGTTCGCATTTGCGCTGCATGCACAGTTCGTTCATCCTCCCTTTTCATCGCCCTACATTCTGATCCATACAGTACGACAGGTCTAACCACGGTCACAAAACCGTGATGTGACCGTAATATATACAAATATTTTCTCCTTTATGTATAATACAAAATAAAATAATGAGGTATGAGTGCAGTGTAGCACTGAATAAACAAATTATTTAACTCACAACTATGGACCAATGACGTTTGTGTGATCAGGAGATCGACGTGTGCGGCTGCGATTGCGTGTCGGAGGAGGTGGTGGTGCAGGCGGCGATAGTGCTGGAAAAGCGCCCGCGCCCCCTCACCCTGCATCTCGCCGCCACTAACGCCGCCCACGCAGACGTAAGTAGCACTTCTACTTTATCTCTGGAATATTTACTTCGGTAATAAACGTGACACAGTACACCGATAAATTTAAATCACCAAAATAAATAATGGGTTGATTTGTGTGGAACCTTTGGAATACCGAAAACAAAATCTTCTGTTCCATATTGTTATTTGGGTTGAATGTGAGACGGTATTAGAAGTGTATTTCTTACAATAATGGATAATTTTTTAGAATATTTATTATTTTATGCATTCAAATATATAGTGGAGTGTTTTCACAAAAAATGATATTCATATATTTTTTGTGAAAACACTCCACTATACTCTAGCCAAATTTGATGTAGAACAAATGTCAACAAACAAAAACATGATTTTTACGGTTTTCATCTCACTCTCTTACTACTCTTTCACAGTTACCACAATTCCCCCGAAATTCAACTAGATTATGGATAATACTAAATCTTGAAGTCATGTTTATAATGAGTATTGAACAGAAATTTCAAATCACCTAAAATAACATAAAAATGACCAGTAATTAATTATTTGTAAAACTGTGTCGTCCTTAGTGTGTTTTTGATTTGAAGGGAGAGATTGCAAACATTCGAGTTCTGATGGTAATTCAAGTTCAGAATCGGAAACAGATGCTGGATGATTAATATGTGGTATATTAATATCAAATAAAATTTTACAATTTTGTTTCTTTTCATCTACCATTACCTATCATCTAGCAGTAAATATTAATAGGATGCAAACACTTATTTTTATTCCTAAATCATACGTATCAATAAGTAATTTGTAAACTTTATAACAATTGGCTAGGTAAGTATTACTTCTACATAACCCAATTACCTACCTATCTATTTAAATTCCAATTAAGGGAGCAGGCCGTGGGAAGACTAGGCCTTAATAATGAGCATTGAAAAAAATGTTCTTTTCCTATGCCATCATTGGTTGCCTAGCAACGTTTTGCTATTAAACATTCTACATCGAATTTGGCTAGAGTATAGTTGGGTGTTATTATTGATACAAAGATCAAACAAACACAACGAAATATTCCGTCGTTCCAGCTGGATTAGAATCGGCGCCTGTTTGCCAGGCCGAGGCTAGCAAGCGCTTATTTTTTAGAATTTGAATATACACGCTCAAGAAGGTTTAGCAATCTTATTTCGTCACAAACGAGCCAATCTAGGGCTTACTTCCAAGAATTCCCGTTCCGGAAATACCGGGAAATCGTGGTACTGGCGGGGTGCAATCAGTCCCGGTAGCACGATTATAGATTCCGTATTCTCGCTTTTTTCAATCAATATAGTTAATGTGATTATGATGTGATTTGTACTCGTTTTGTAGACTGATAACAATTATTAATGCCATTATAATGCTACTTAAACTTATTACTTAACTACAATGTGGTTTTACGATATTATGTTATGTTAAATTTAATAGTAAGTATCTTTCAAATAGATATTTTAAATATAATTCTTTAGTTTGATTACAGAATGATGCTTTTTATATTATTTATGGTATTATTATTACGTAAATAACTTTTTTTTGTTAAAAAATAAGTGCGCATTTGACTTCCATCTCACATGATGGAAAGTGACAATGAAGCATGCATACCTAAATAATGCGTATTCACTCTCGTCTTGAGAAGGTCCAAGTTATATATATATATTCAGGGAACAAGTCTGCAGGCAGGGAATTCCACTCCATGCCCGTTCGTCATATAAATGTGGAAGCGAAACGCTTCGTTCGAATTCTTGGAATATCCACAACATAGGGGTGGAACTCCAGATTACTTCCTGGATAGGTACTGAATAGTACGGATAACCCGAAACAAGCATACTTACTGATTACAATTTAAGCTTTTCTAGAATTACCGGTACTGAGCTCAATCCCAACAAAAAAATATTTTAGGATCCGGACCGGTTCTGCAAGCCAATATTTGGGCCCCACACAAAAATCAAATCAGGAGACCAGGGAAAGAACGATCAAATTCACCTAATAAATTTATTAAACGCTAAGCGTATTTTGCCTAAATTAGAAAAAGGCTAATAAGGTTCCATATCCTGAACAAAAAAAAAACTTTTAGTTTTAGGCTTAAAATTCTGGAGACTATATGGTAGAAAAGTTGAATAAGATTTATAAATGTATTTTTGTCTTCTTCACCAACATTGAACAGTTTTCCACTTTAAAAATTCTTTTTTTCTAAAGTTCTCCTCAAGGGACTTTGATCATTTTTTTCCCTGAACTCTTCAAATAAGAATGGGGATAAAATTTATAACTCCTCATCGCATTGACTTTGCAGGAGCTGGAGTTTCCTACGCACAAGTTGCTAACAGTGGACACGCGCGATGATCGCAGCAACCCTCACCTGCGGCCGGATTTTGTTGACCGCATCTTCGACGACAGTTCCGAGGACTCTTTGGACGATCTCTATGATCGCGATGACTTTGACGAATTCCTCGGGCCAGGTACAGGTCAGATACGTTCTAATTTTTTTGTACCTTAATTAATTTTTCGTAATAAGTAATTCACGTTAAAAATGCGGTAAGTAAAATTGACTCTGACCACTCACATGGCTTTAATATCACTTGAAATGAAGTAGAATGATTATATATTATGAGCTTTTATAGCAATCCTCGTTAAACCCGAAAGTTGAAATCCTTGTCAAATTCGTATTATGACAAAAAACTAGTAAGTTTCCGTGTTGATAACTCAAAAGTCGGTACACCTTTCTTCTCGGTGTAAAATAGTATCATGACGTACCACTTGGCGTGAAACTGAAAGTCTCACCTGCCAAAATAAGTTAACTTTGTAACTAACGGTTTTTATTCTAGGTGGCATTACATTTCCAGTTTTTTGTTGCTTTGTATCTTTTAAAATTTTATTAATTTAACGTAGACCGTTAAGTAACCTTAATAGCACCTAATTTAAGTTTGGCACACATTGACCTACCAACAAATGGACGTCGGGTCTAATACAAAAACCACGAAAAAAATGTCCGAAGTTAACCTACACAAACGTGGTGACACGAAACGAAATATAAAAACTAAAACATGTAATATAAATTGTAACGTCATTGCAATACTGCCTAATTTTGCTTGTAATAATTTAAGAAACGAAACAAAATGCACCATATTTAGCGTCGACTGAAAATTACTTGAACACAAGTGTATACAATAATCGTAAATATGAATTAATTTATATATATATTATTATGTCGAATTTTGTACAAATTCACTTAAAGAAATAATAAAGAGTTGGGCAGATACATACATACAAATATTACTGCAAATGTGAAAACAATTGTGTACTATAAGAAATGTACCGATATGACAACTAAACGTAAACTCAAATATCCGTAATTCCGAAAACCGATTTATAGTAAAACCGTTACGCTTTCGAGCAATTTTGATGCTTTTCACAAAATTAGCTTTTGTTTTGTAATCTTCCTAAAAAAAAAAATACATTTGACATTATGAAAATTCGAGCTAACGTTATTTCGGGCAAATATATTTTCTGACTTCTGAAAGGTAATCCCAAGCCGTAAAACGAGTACAACAATAATTTGTTAGTTATTGCTAACGTTTAATAAAAAAAGTCATTTTAAAAATAAAATTAAAATCAACGCGACTCTATATGTTCTTTGTTCCAAATATTTCAATCGGTTATGTTTCGTACAATTGAAAATGACCAATAAGTTTATATAAGCTTCTTGAAATTGACATAATGGATCTCTTTCCTTCTTTTGCACATGCAATGTGTAGAAAAAGGATAGTTAGCTATTTGATTTTTTGTTTGCTTTTGTAATTTATATTTACGATTAATTTATATA